AGCAGGTGATTTTAAGGGATTTTCAGGTATTTGGGTCCCAAACTGCTGAATACTGTCAACTTATCTTAAAGGCCCCAGTCCTGACCTATAAAGTCTTGACAACACACCTGGCTTTTGAACTTCAACAGCTTCTCATGTGAGAAGTTGCTAAACAGAATCTTTTTGGTCTTGCCTTCATTACCCTTGTCTTATTTTGTTTCCCCTCTAAGGTGGATCCCTGGTGGGTTTGGCCTGCTCCAGAACCCAACAGATCCAGAACCCAACAGGCCTGCTCCAGATCCACCTTATACTATGTCATCTACATTTCATCTACGGCAGAAACAAACTGATATCTGGTCTTTGAACTAATCACCTGTCTCTTATTTTGGCTGTGGTGTAGCATGACATTATGCTAAGTGAAGTTGTACTCAAATAGTAAAGGAAACATTGAACTTGATGTATGCTTCCCTTATCACTTTAGATGTAAATTCACATGACTGAGGTGTATAGAAATCCATATTTATTTCTTATTCTCATTTGCAATTTCTACAGCCAGTGAACTGTATCTTGCCACAAGAAGACAAGATTGAACATTCATTTATTTAATGTGCTGTTAGTGTAAGCGCCTATGAGAACTCTGATGGATAAAAATTTAAAAGGAACCACATTCTGATGATTACCATAGTTGAAGCTTCGTAGATGAAGAGCAACCCACTTTCTGCAGCTGAAGCTAACCACTTGCCATGAGGTGACAAATGCAGAAAAGCACGTCCAAATTGTTTGCTAGGTGTCTTCTTCTCAGAAAGAATGATTGGCTGTGAACCAAATAGACAGCAGACATTGATGGTGATAAAACTAAGAATGTTCATGTCCAATAATTAAGAAAGCAAAATGCCATGCCAGGTATTGGGCTATCACATCCCAGGAAGCACCCGTAATGTCATCATCACTGTGTACTAAGGCCTAAGGGTTCAATTTAGACTAACAAAAAAATTTCTGAATATGTTTCTTCTGTCATTTCCCCATAAAAATTGCCTCTCTCTTGAAATGCTATTTAGAATAAGAGGAAAAATATATGGGTGTACACAATCAATCTCTTCCCCTGGAAACAAATATTAGTTGGGAGAAATTTTAATGAATGGAGGTAAAGTGGTCTGCTCAAACACCTGAATAGACTGAGGGATTCTATGGTTATACTTTAAAAAAAAGTTTTTTAAAAGACAGAAACACCATGTTTAATTTTTAATTAACAATTTTCTCATGACATATCATACCTTTTCAGTAAGATGGTATTTTAAGATATAAGGTGCCTGGCTAGCATAACCAAACAATGTGCCCTCTTTCCTCTTGACCAGAGAACTTAAGGGGTACTCTAATTCATATGTACGTTTCCGAATTATGTTCTCTTTCAGTAGCCCTCTTTCTGTGACACATTGTTCATTTTCTGTAGATTGAAAAGAAACACCAAAGAGCAAGAAAGAAGTTACTTCTATGTTGGATTTTCTTTTATTTCTGAAAGAATTAGTTACATGGAGAGGACCAAGCTAAGCTTAGTTCTCAGATATCGTTTTCCACCAAATATGTATAGTAGTTCTAGCCTCAGTCTTTGGATTACTTGTATTTAACTAAACATTGTTATACTTGCCTCTACTGATAGAACAGTGTGATGAAATATGATTGTTCTTATTATTCAAAAACATATATGTTTTCTTTACCATTCAATAAATGATATATTTCTATATTCTGGCCACATGTTTACTTCTTTTATGTAGGAATGTGTAGCCTGCATAATTAAATTGTAAACTGCCTAGAGTGTTTTAAGTGCTATGGGACAGTATATAAGCAGTACACTTTGCTTTTTTTATACACCGGCATGATTGTTCTTATTATTCAAAAACATATATGTTTTCTTTACCATTCAATAAATGATATATTTCTATATTCTGGCCACATGTTTACTTCTTTTATGTAGGAATGTGTAGCCTGCATAATTAAATTGTAAACTGCCTAGAGTGTTTTAAGTGCTATGGGACAGTATATAAGCAGCACACTTTGCTTTTTTTATACACTGGGAAATGAACCAATATCTGCAGCAGCTTACATATGTGCAAATGAGCCAATACTTTTGGACCAACATCAATAAATGAATAGATTCATCTGCCACTCTTATACCTGTTCCTATACTTCTTTGCACTTTGCACTGTTCTCAGTCCTTTTCTAAGTACTCTTCTATTCTTCTCCTCTAGGCCTATGATTCTCTAGTCGTTTTTACCTCAGCAGTGACTCTGCATTCTGTGTCCACTATGCTCAGTTTCACTTAATGTATCTGTGATTTTAACTACCCTTGAGAAGACAGTGTCAGACTAGGGCTCCGGTGGCCTGTGTTCAAGTCCTCACTCAGCCATGGATACTCACTGGGAGTGGGTGGTACTGGTGAAACTACTCCTTAAACATCTCCCACCTTGTAAACTCTACTGAGGTCACTATAACTTGGATGTAACTTGATGGCACAAAAACCTTCCTTGATTTATTTCTCTATTTCTGCATACTTTGAGGCTTCTCCAGCCCCACTGATATCTCCCTCTGGTAGGTACAGGGTGCTATTGGGTAAGACAAGATTCTAGACTTGGATAACAATTCTTTCATCAGTGTAAACAATTTCTAAAAATGGTCAGTGAGTCATAACAATAATAGAATGCCAGACAAGATTTCATTTTTACCTAAAGTAATAGTTGCAGGAAGATGAAATATTTCCACTCTTGCTCTTTTGATCTCTGGTGGACAGAGAAGTGCAATTACTTCAACTGACTCCTTCTCTGTATCATAAAGTGACGTTATGTCAAGAATTTCACTCGCAAGTGCTAAAATGAAAGAAGTCAACATTTAAACCAGCTAAATCGTTAAACGAAAATGTTCCTTTCTATTGACATACAATTGATCAAGGATCCTTGGAATATGGAGCTACATAGATAATTGGTTGCATTTATTAGTGACATTATACATTGCCTTTCTTCTACTATGAACAGAATACAACATATGTGCAATTCCTAAGCATTCTCTCATTCTGATACCAATCAGATCCAAGCCTATTCAACTTCAGCTGGGTGACTTACTTACAAACCATGTCCCAGAACATATATAAGCAATCTGTGACATGCATTCAGCACTTAGCAGTAATCAGACCTTCTCTTGCCCACCGTTACTTCCATGTAAACAACAACAGACATCCACATTGTGTGTGTGTGTGTATTATAGATCTTTATTAAAGATAACCTCAATAATCTGTATTATATTAAGCAATTTAACATATTTCACTTCACAGGGCAAAGCATAATATGGAGTAAGTAATGGAACCATGGAGAATAGAAGCAGGCAAAGCAAGTTTACATCCCTGTATTGCTCATCCTAATGATTGCAATTAACATTTGTTATGATTGTAGGAGACTTTATACCAGGTTTTTTTAATCAAACTGCAGCTTAACAATGTAATTATTAGCTATTAAAACAAGGGTATCCCATACTACTCATTTGTGCTGTAAAAAGCTCTTATTCATTGCAAATAAATATGATTAAGACAAGGAGTCTAGTGGCTAACCCAAAATCACCAAGGTGGTGGGCTGTCAGCCTCAACCCTTCCCCCCTAGAGGACTACTCTGAGACCTGGTGGTAGGGCAGCCCAAGGAAATGGATGGCAGAACAGGGCACTTGGGTGGGAGAGAGGAGAAGGAAGAACTCTGGTCACAAGAAAAGGCACAAGTGGAGCTGGGTAAAGGGAGCAGGGGATGGAGGAGGAAGAGGAGAAAAGGGTTTTGTTGGTTACTGGATCAGAAGTGTGGTCAGAGGCATGGAAGGAACAGACTCGTGTCTTCTGCACCCTGAGGCAGAATGAGTCACTGCTCTTCCAAAACCCATGGATGGGAGAGTGGGTCAGCTTTGTCCAAGGGAGAGTCTAAAGCAGGAAAGCATCCATCCTTTTCCCACTTGGGCCATTGTGATAGTGACTGGAGTGACTTTCAGAGCCTCACCTGGGGGAGCCAACATTGACCCAGAAGAGGGGGTGACACCAGTGCTCATCCAACTGGCCAGGGAGTGAGAAGAGCAGCGCTGCTGGGAAGACCCACATTATTCAGGCATTTCTGGCTCTCAATTGCTGGGGCTAGTGCCGAGAACTCAGCCGGGGGGGGTAGTGCCTAACATTCAGCCCCATCTGCACATATTTAGTTTTAGAGGGGGTCTAGTGCAAGGAACAGAGGAGTATGGCAGTTGGGTAGGGGGGTTAAGATACCAGGAACGTGGCTGTATCCCATCTCTGTCCCATAACAAATCCTGACTGGACTCTGGCTGAGCCTGTGATGTTTATGGAGCCTATGGCAGACCCTGCCTACCAGCCTGCTGCCCCCACACCAGGTGTGGTGGGGGGCACAGCTAGTAATCAGAAAGCTAGTAAACACATAAATAAGGTGGAAATATTGATTTATTTCTGACCTTATTTTATCATTTTTTCAGTGTTTTAAGAATTAAAGCACATACAGTATTTGTCTTAATTTCTAAATAAACCTAAGCAAACATTCTCAATGCATTAGCAAAAGTCCACATGCAAGAAACTGCCTGTAGATAAAGACTACGCATAAGCCAAATGACACTTTCTTTTGGCATTTACGAAAAAGGCAAGTAAAATCTTCAGTGTCTGCCTTCTTTAAAAAGGTACAACAAATCATATCTATTACCATTCATAGCTGCCTGTAGCATATAGGGAACAAGTATCAATATACATTACCTACACATCCAAGGACTTGGAATAATTTTGTGGGGAAAGCATTTAAAATAAAGATGTAGCCATCTTTCGTTGTTGCTAAGAGAAACTGACCACTTTGTTCATAGCTTGAAAAGAGAGAAGAACAATGACGTATATTAAAATGTAACTACAGTTTACCTAGATGATCAGAAACATGTCAGCTAGCATAGTCCTTAATTTTCACCCTGATCTTAGTTATTTCAAAGGCATTGTGCAAAATTTTGAACTTAGATTATTTAACCTAGATGGAAGGACTTACATGATTAGGGCACATTTTGAGCAAATTCTTTAACTTAGCATTGTTCTGTAACAAGGTATCAAACAAGGGCTGTACAACCTGACCAGCGGATATGTGAGACACTCCTTTGTTAACATTAATTCATTGGCCTTTACACATATCCTGTAACAAGGTATCAAACAAGGGCTGTACTGTACAACCTGACCAGCGGATATGCGAGACACTCCTTTGTTAATGTCTCCATGTCCAGAGAATCTGTCCCCTAATCTCCGAAGGACAGATCCTCTGTGACATTGGCAAGACCTGGGTTTTATATTTGGATCCTGTTAACCTACACATACAGCAGGTGGATGCAGAAGGCAGGAGGCTCTAAACATATAACAGAATTTCACTCATGTGACAGATACTTCTTTTACTCCTTCTCAGAACTGCACTGGGTATTAATAAACCTGCTGCAGGAGGTGGACTAAAAAGAATTCCAGTTTGAAACAGACACAGTTTTGTTTAAGAGACTAGGTGATCTCCAACACTGAGCAGCACTCTAACAGAAATGACAAATTAGGAAAACTAATAGTGGAAACTGGGAAAAGGACTGAACTCAGACTCAGAGCATGACACTGAGTCTGAGATAAAGGTCAAAATCTAGTTTACACTGGCAAAATGCAAACAGAAAGGAACTCAGTATGCAACAGACATTGTTAATGGTATTTCTTAACTCTGGGTAATTGACCCCCAAAAGTTATGCCAACTGTGTTACACTTCTGTGTGTAACAAAAGATTTTAGCCAAAACCCGGAAGCACTTGCATCAGGAACACCTAAACTGGTATTCCCAAACCTCTAAGAAACTCTCTCCACCCTTTAGGGGCTCGAGCCCAGGCAGCCTCCAGAGCCGAGGCAGCTGAAGCAGGATGAAGAGGAGGAGGAGGAAGCACCACCAGGCGATGAGGTGGCTGCTGGCCAGGCTGATACTGAGATAGAAAGAGAGCCAAAGAGCTGCTTCCCTGGAAGAGGCAGTGGCAGCTGCTGTTGGCGGCTTGGAGGCACTCTTTGAGGACGGGATGGGAGCGAGCTCCGCTCTCAGGCATTGCGCAGTGGTGGCTCAGGCATTCGGGGAAAAGGGCCGGCAGCGCGCCTCGCTCGCCGGCTCTCCCCCAAGACAGCACCTCTTGCGCCCTCCATCCAGAACTGAATCCTGCTAGGCAGCAGACAGGCGGGCTGGCTGGCTGGCAGGCTGCAGTTCCAGATGGAGGGTGCAAGAGGCAGTGTCTTGGGAGAGAGCCAGCGAGTGAGGTGAGACTTTTTTTAACTCTTGCCAGCAGAGGCTGCGTGGGCGCTTTGGGGGGGGGCAGGCAAGGCGGGGGCCACGAACTATCAGCCGGCGGGCCAGAAATGCCCCCGGGCCGCATGTTTGAGACCCTTGATCTAGAGGTAACAGAGTGTCAGACTCCAGCTAGGTAGCAATCCCTTTGAGGTTCTCCCATCATCAGTAAGAGGTGAAGCCAAGGAGGGGTAATCTGATGAAATCTGATGGAAGTCCAAGATCTCTTTTTTCTGCTACTTGTCTCCTGAGGGGTATCCAAGGTACTGAAGCTGTAGCCTGAGCCATCCATAGGTATGTCTCATCTGCTGGGCCTCTTTGTGTGCACTCAGGACCAGACACCCTACTCTGATACATGTTCTCTCTCTCCATGTACTTACTGCAAAAAATGCACAGGAACCTCAGAAAGGAGAACCCGGTGAACTACTCTAGGAGTTTCAACTTCTGTGAGATCTATGAAGTAGACATGGCCCTTTTTCGTTCCCACCGCAACACTGTGAGATGACAAGCTACATGCCATTGCAGTGACCTAGGGAGTGAACAAATGGCATTCAATTTCTCCATACAGTAAAAGATCCTAGGATGTTGGCCAATATTCCTATTTCTTCAAGTACAATATTTTCCCCAGAGTTTTCAATAGAAATCTCACTAGATAGGCACAGATTATCATTTAACTATCCTCTGTTCGTATTATATTTATTTTATATTCTTCTTAACATATTTATCAGAAAAATGGTTCAGGGGATTTGAAAAGCAATGCAATATAAAACAGCAAACAGCAAATCCGCCAAACAGTATGCATATACTTGCTACTGGGACTCTTTTATTGATGGCATACATAAAGGCAGATCATTAATTTAAAAAGTTCTTCATACCACAGTATGTAGACATAGCTTGTTGACAAAAGCACCATCATCTAACTGCCAAACATGCATTTCTCCTGATTCTGCTACAGACTATAATATAAAAGAGAAAAAAACATGTAAATAACACAGGAGAGAAAACAAATGGTTGTTAAAGAATGTAAAGCAGACTAGCTAAGTTGGTAGATGTATATACCATAGCTGCTCTGTGCATGGTTTCAAAAGAACAATGATGATGCAATGGAAGCAATTTTCTGTATTTACACATAGAACTCCCATAAGTACACAGAATGTGGTTGTGAAATACAATTTTAAAACAAAACTGATTTGCATGTGAGAAGAGCAAACTCTTCTCCCCTCCTCCATTACTTGCTTTTCTGAAGAAGTGACTCTTCAGGAATTTTTATGCTACTGTGTACTATCTGGCTAATTATCCTGGTTCCAACAAAATTATCTAGGCTGTAGGGCTGGACCATGGCAAGCCATGAGAGAACAGTGACTTCAGCAATCCTAACCTATGTACTCTCTTGCTTTTATAATCAGACGCAATAACCTTTGCTATATAATTGCAGCAGTAACAATCCCCGCCTGTACTTAAGATAATCATTATTTGGGTGGAGGGGGGACAGCAAAAGGATTAAGCTAGCACACTTGCCACTGATTTCAGACCAGAGTCACATGATTTAACTGTTGTCGAATTGAAGCACAAAGGTTATCAACTGCCAATAATGCCTGTGTTAATACAGTATGCAAAAGTCGCTAGCGAAGGAAATGAATGGAGTCTTCTGCAGCCCTTCATTATCACAGACTTTTGTTTTCAGAGTCCCAATTTGCTTTAATCCAACACTCTGTCATATTATAAATGGTTGTGATTTACTGATACAATCACACACCTAGCACTTCAACTAAAAATACATCCAACATTTTAAATTACCCATCATTTATGACAGACTTGGGCTTCTACTGCACATGTCTAAGCCTTGGAAGATATGCTGAATATTGCCATGAAAAACTGGCAAAACTTATTTGTGATCAGAGTGGAAGATCAATGTGTACTATCCTTCTGCTATTCTAGAAGAAGATGCAATCACCATTAAATTATTTGTTGCAGCCTGCTATAGTATGAATAAGAAAGAAAAAGCTTTTTTTATTTCATTTTATGTGAATCAAGATGCAAAGGACAATCAAATAGTGGCAAAACTTATTTGTGATCAGAGTGGAAGATCGATGTGTACTATCCTTCTGCTGTTCTAGAAGATGCAATCACCATTAAATTATTTGTTGCAGCCTGCTATAGTATGAATAAGAAAGAAAAAGCTTTTTTTATTTCATTTTATGTGAATCAAGATGCAAAGGACAAACAAATAGTGACAATACTTCCACTATTTTCACCCACAACAAAATTTGCTTTATGGCTCTAACTTTTATATAGGAAAAAGCACGTGCACTATCACATATGATGGCATATATTACAGCACAAAATAGATTCTTCAGAACTATGTTACTCATCATTCTGCTCAGTGTTTATACCATTCTAAGAAGAATTGTCAGACTTGTTAAGGAAATACGTTTAATAATCTTCCTTCTTTAGTGGCTAATTTCCCTTTCACAGTTCATATACAATACATTGAAATAACAAACCAGATACTGGTGTTTCTTGTTTGCTTGTTTAACTCTATGACCTAGCTTTTAGAATAGACTAGAATCAAACAAAACATAACACCTTAATATTTAGAATTGTCGTCCCTTAAAACATCCGGTTGTTCTTGTATGGGCTTTTGTCATCTCCATATCAAGCCTTCTGGAAGGAAGACAAACATGGCTTCATTTGTATATGTGATCGCAAAATCAATTATCTTTGAGGAAATCCCATTGTTGGAAAAGAATGGGCTATTTTCAGGGAATATGCATGTCTCATAATGTCTAGTTTGACCCTCAGATTTAAAAGATTCGTAAAATAAATGGAGCAGAAAATTAAGACAATACGGAAATGGATTTTCAAGCCCCACTTGGAAACTGTTGTAATAACCTTCAAAAGATGATACTACAATGTAACAGCATCAAGGACATTTGCAATCCCTCTTCTGTCATTTCATGAAAGTGAAAAACTCCTTACCACACAGTACTTGGTTCCTGGAACAATAAAATCAGCTGCAACAAACTGACTTATACTTGCATCCAGTAATAGGTTAACATCTTCATTATCACTAGGATTAAAAATGCAGAGTGATCCCTGTCAAATGGAAATAATCTATTATGGGATGGATGGAGAAAGTATCCAACATATGCCCATATTTTGCCTGTCTTTCTCACATTTCAAGGAAATGTTAACAATTATATTCAACCTCAAAATAATTAGGCATCAAATTGACTATCTTAGAAATGTGTCTAATAGTGTGAAAAAATGACTTTCAGCTATTCTAATTGCTTGGTCTCTGTAGCACTTACATGCAATTTCACTGAAATTAACTATTGCTTTATGAACATAATTCAATTCCAAAATACCACCATATGATGAGAAATGACTGTTGCTATTTCCTGCAATCAGTAGAGAAGGAAGCACAAGGTCTTGGAATCTTCTTTGGAGGTCCTTCTCTGGATAACCCCACTAGGAAAGTTAAATCTGGTGGCTACCAGATAGAGGACCTTTTCAGCATTTTTGCCAGGAGGCTTGTCTGGTGCCCAAGCTGCTACCCTTTTGACAATGGATAAATACCTTCTAATTTTCTTGGAGCTTCAAAATCTCTTTTAGCTTTTAACACTGTATTGCTTTATTGTTATATTCCCCACACTGTGAGGCTGACTACACAGGTGTTTAGCCCACTGTTCAAGCTGATGCAGGGACAGGCTGGCTTACTCCTAAAGATGGCAATCAGATGAGAGAACCAGCCCACCTCTACAGTGCTAGGTGGGATTGCTTCCTTTTTGTCTGCTCCCAGTGCACGTGATTGCTAAAAATGAACCAAAACAAGCTTTCCTCTTTTAATTTACCACTGTCATGAAAAGAACACCTACAGTGCTAGGTGGGATTGCTTCCTTTTGGTCTGCTCCCAGTGCACGTGATTGCTAACAATGAACCAAAACAAGCCTTCCTCTTTTAATTTGCCGCTGTCATGAAAAGAACAACTTCACAATATTGGCAAATCAAACACTTCCTCTGCTCTGTAGAGGGGTTGAAGAAGTGAGAAAAATGTATATATTAGAGCAAGGGATATGCCCAGCATCACTTTAAAAACTGCATTAGGTATGTGTACTACAAGTTAGGTATCAGCACAATATTGGCTCTCATTGTAACTAAGCCATATGGAGAATTTTCAGCAACAAGGTGGTCTACAAATGTTGCAAGCAAGGAAGAATGTGTACATTCATGGGTTTATTCATTCACTTATTCCAGCCGAGAAGTCAGAAATATCATTCCCAGGCTTGCTATCTCAGGACCAAATTATACGTATACTACATTATTAGAAGAGAAAATTCCATTAAATATTGAGAACATCTGTTCCATTTTTTTCGTAACTCTTATAGTTTCCTTGTTTTGTTTTGTAACTCGTCAGTGAGAGGTAGGCACAGGCTTCAAATGCAAGTATGATTGCTCAGTTATAAATGCCTGCCTGAATCAAATCTTTGGAACAGATTTCAGCTTCTAACGATAGGACATCTGCGTTTAATATAATGGCACTATTTATAAAACATAAATTGTAGGCATAAACTCCTATAAAATCAGTTTGGGTGCAAAATGTCTCTTGGCAGGTTTCTTGGTAAACACTGTGGCTTATGTTCTTGTGGTACTTTCACCAAAAAATGCCTACAATTAATTTAAGATATACGAATTAACAGTTTAACTTTCATACCTCAATCCTCACTGGCATTTCTCAGACAGGATATAGAGTAAAATCAACCACCCACCACTCTTTCATCACCAAAATTTTCCACATATGTTGCATTGTCATTGACTAATGGGGTTTCCATGTTATGATTTTGGAACTGTGTTATGATGCATGCATGAATTAAAATTAACATAAAAGGGAACCTCATTAGTAATTTTGCTTTGCACACAATATACCTTTTCTGTTTCTACTAGCAAGTTAGCATAATCAGGAGAGAATGTAAGGCTTGTTATAGGCTCCTCCATTTCCAGGCAATCTTCCATCTGAAAAGTTGTGCCTTTTATTTTATAACAACGCACAACACCATCCTAGACAAAAAAAACAGCATAATTAATGCAACAAATCCGGTGGGATGGTAACAACTAATCTCAAAATCACTTCTGAAGAACTTTAGAGAACACTTGGGACAAAACCAGATGAGATGGTGAACATCCATGGGGGAACTAAAAAATTTTTCAAACTGTAACTATTTTGCAAAATAAATACATGTATATACGGATACAGTAGATGGATTGTGGCATAGATTATTTGTATACCAAATTTCCCAAATTTTGTCTTCCTAATATAAAACAAACAAGCAAGCTTTCCCCAAAAAGCTAGCATTTGTCCCATTAATAATAATACTCTCATGCTGTCAAGTTGATTCTGACTCATGGCAACTCTCTCCAGGATTGTCTAGGTAGAGAGTACTCAGAAGAGGTTTACCATTCTCTTCTTCTAGGAACATCCTGGGACTGTGCAGCTTGCCCAAGGCCACACAGGCTGAGTGTTCTCCCGAGAGGCACTGTGGAGAATCAAACTCCCAACCTCTAGCTCCACAGCCAGCTATTTAAACCGCAGAGTTATTCAGCCAGCTATTTGCCGATTTAGGAAAGGATAAACAAGAACATACACTTGCACACAAATTGAAACAGGAGAAGGGGAGTTCAGAGTGGGAAAAGGGCATACATGAACAGTGTAAGCCTTGCCTTTTACAAGTTTTGATCCACCCCCCACCCCCCCGTGATCCATTTTTTTATTAAATAAATCAAAGAGAGAGAATGAGAGAGAGAAAGCAAGAGAGAGGACATACAAGGCAGACTTCCCAGGACCTGTGTGGTTTAGCCCTTGGGTCACCTACAGACACCATCAGTTTCTATGCTTGGATTTAATGCAACTCAAAGACTGGATCTGCAGGCTTCTTTCTTGAAGCACTGAGCAAGCTGCATGGTCCTAGAGCACCACCAGAAGGAAGGACTGGCAAACCACTTCTCTGAATATACCCAGAAAATTCTGGGGGAGTTGCCATAAGACTAAATTGACTAGAAGGCACATTGTTTCTTAATTAATTTTCTATGCTTGGCTATTTCATTCAAGTCACCATGTTTGCTACTAACATAAAAATCCTCATCATCATCTGCCCAGAAGAGGCAAAGAATGAACCTTGAGCTTGATATCACATGACTCCTGTTCCTATCAAAATATTAGTCATGTAGGCAGACTGAGAAAATCGTATTTAGAGACAGAATCATGGACTATAAATTCTCCCAGTGAAATTCTCCTGCTTTTCATCACTCATATGCAATACTTCTGGTCAATCCATAATTCCCCATTGTATTTAAACCAGGAAACTCAGTGTATGTTTGCAATGGTACTGAGCATTCCAATCTTCAGATATTTTCTCCTCCTTATGATTTGCAGAAGTTAAGACTACTGAGTTGTGTTTGTGTTTAAAGACCAATCCAAATAAAATTATACTCTCTAAGGTTATTTATGTTCCGCAATTGTGACCTGAATTTGCATGCTTTCCTTTCCTCTCCTTTCTGCTTTTGCATCATGTCTATTGAGCCCTGAGCCTACAAGCAAGAACCATTTTATTTTTTAATCCCTGCACAGAGAATAGAGAGAGCCAGTGTAGTATGGTAGATAACAGATTTGGACTCAAGAGAGATGGGTCCAAATTCCTGATCAGTTATGGAAACTCACTGAGGATAGCAATGGTAAACTACTCCTTGAATATTGCACATACACTGAAAGCCCTGTTAGGATCATTGTTAAGTCAGAAGCAACTTGATGGCACATAATATAGCATAACAGAGATTAGACTGGTATGGATGCTTTATATGTGACAGATAGCAACAGCTCTATTCAAAACTGTTTGCTTTGACTTTCTGGAAATTTGAATTTCTTTCTCTCAAATGCATAGTTCATTATGTTGAATATAGGTGCTACATAGTCAGGGCGTAGAAACAGCAGACTGAGCCCACTCAGAAGTCAACCTCTTCTCTGCAGAACAGCAGACTGAGCCCACTCAGAAGTCAAGCTCTTCTCTGCAGAAAGAAGTTATTTGATACAAGGACCATGCATAGCAGCATTTCTCTGCCTTTCTTATTCCCCAAATACCTGGACATGCAAGTTAGGCAGAAGCTACAGGGCCTCCTTACATTTCCAGCTGCATAAAGTCCATCCTTATGAAGTGCCATGGCAAGCAGGATCACATTTTGAGCTTCCTTCCTTTCAATAGCTACAGAAAGCGTTAGTAAAACATGTTAATTCAATATATTATTTCTCAAATTTCATACATGTATGAACTTCCAGACTGAAAAACAGCAAAACTATACAGCAAGGTAGCACAATTAGAAGTTAATGATCACACATCCACAAGAGGATAGAGTGGAAGAGAGCATGTAAGCAAGCAAGTGAGAGAATGCTATACGTCACACCTCTACTACTGATGCATCCAGAGTGGCTCACAGAAAATAACAGTAATTTGTAAGAATACAATTTTAAAAAATTAAAATGCCTTTTAAAATAAATAAAAACACATAGAAGGCTTATATCACAGGTATTGCCTCACAAATTCACTAGCACATCTACTTTTGTGCTGAATGCCAGTCTATTGTGAGAAGGATGGTTATAGGTAAAAGATCTTGGATCATGACAAAATGAACCAGAGCTTATCAACAAGCAATATCAAGGCTGGATTTACATATCAAATGTGAGTCAAATGTGACTCAATTCTTAGGACTTTGGTTTTTCAAAGCTGTCTCCCTTGTACCTTACCAGGGAATATGTGCATATAAACTCATGCACACATGAGCATGACTACACAATGAGGGAAAAGCAAATTAACTCACATTCTCTCCCAGTGAAATTCCACTGGGGGTTTCAGTTCTTTTTCATTTAAATGGCCACACAGGCAGAGGAGTAAAAGCCTTCTAATTACAGTTCTGTTGAAGTGACTGTGGTACAAAGGAACTGCCTTATGAAAATCTTTATTTCCTCAGTTGACTGATTTCCTCATCTCATCTTGCTGTTTTTAGAGCTCGTTAAACTATTAACAAAAATACATAAAATAAACAGGAACTCTGCCCAAGAAGAAGCTGTTAAAAAACAAAAACAAAAAAGGTCTTGGGAGCAATACTTTGTACAGAGATGTAAGTGCCGACACTACTTGTGTGTGTGTGTGTGTGCGTGCGCACACATGCATGCATGCATGTGTACACATATGATGTAAGTGCCGACACTACTTGTGTGTGTTTGTGTGTGTGCATGCGTGCGCGCACATGCATGCATGCATGTGTACACATACACACATGCTTGTTCAGTCTTTTCTTTCTGCATCAGTTCAAAGCAATCACAAGGGACTTGACTTTTAAAAAATAGAAGGGTCTCTGTTGAGGAGGAAAAATTATAGATTGGAGCTGTGGGACTCTGGGTTGTTTCACATTTCCCACTGCCTGCCCCAAACCAGTACTATTTCCTGCATTTTCCCCCTGTGTAGCCAGGCACTTGGGAGATTTTTTTTCCAGTTGAGTGCCTATACATATGCTATTTGGTGCTTTGCAATTGAGAAACTAGTAACAGAACTTCTTGACAGAAGTTTTTCTGTAATTTTTGTGGTTTTCTGATTCCACTGTCAGTATGTATTAGAAAGTTTTCTGAAGAAAACATCAGAAAGAAAACATCACCTCTCTACTTTTTTGTGTTCCTCACCATCTGTTTCTTACCAGACAATGATATATACGAATAATACTTATATAATTATATTGGCACATGTTTTCTGCACAAGCAAATAACATTAGAAAATAAATACCTTGTTTGTCAAAACTGCGTGAAAGTGATCGAAACGTTGCTCTTTTTTTGGCTAGAAGGGAAGCGATGATGTATTAGTTGTGGCCAGCCTACACAATTTGTTGACAAATGTCCTAATTAGAAGAAACATGTATATATATACACAGCCAAATAAATACACATAGGCTTTTGCCATATACAGTATCCTACTGTGGCGGCGGGGGGGGGGGACTGTGTAAAGGCAGTTGTGCAGTGGTTTTTCTCTATGGCTTGCTGTTTGTTGCACTGCAAGGTGTGTGATTTGGTGCATGATTGTTTATGCAGCCCCTGGATACAGAGGAACATGGTGGATGACATAGTGAAGAAGCAGAATTGCTTGTCTGGTTTTCCTTAAGCAATCCTATAAGGCAATAGGATCCTGACCATAGTGTGGAATCTGGATCTCTTATTCCAAAACTCTTAGTGCCATTTCAGACCTCAAAGATCACAATACTTTTCTCCATGAGAGGGCACTACTCTGGGGACTGTAAGACAGCACTCTTACTTGCATACAGCAATATACACACCAACTGAACAGGTTTCTACGTTTCTCCCACCTAATTTTGAAGATGAAAATAGTTTGTGAGCTATTAACAGAATGCATCTGTCTGAATAATACCCATACCTGCATGGAAATCATTAAATAGTCCTATATACAAGATGTGCTTGCTAAAGCACAAAACATATTTACTTTAAAGAGCCCTACAGAGCCTCAGAACCTAAGATGGGAGAGCAGGAAACTTTTAATGAATGCAAATTATATGTTTCTGGCACCTGATCAAGGTTAACCTGGGTGCAGAGTTACACAACAGGGTTTTGCCCAGTGTGTGTTACAAGTGAACTATACTGCTTCAGGTGTACCCGAAGAAGAAATATCAAACACAATCTGAAACATGAAGATGTAGCAGCTGTCATTCTCAAATAGTGGAATAATCCCAGACTGAATACAGAAAGGCTTGGAACAATCTCTGAAACAGTCTCCTACCTTTAGCATCTGCAGAATATTTTTGACTAACAATAGCAGCCTTGAATGTGTCTGCACCAATTTTCAAGAAGTATCCTTCTTCACAGCCCATATACAGATCAGAGGTTGGAGTCCAGCAGTGGACAGTAGGATGAACAGAAGGTTGAGTATCATCTTTTGGCTTTAATTGAAAAGACATCACCATATGTCAGTTCCAAGAATAAATTGTACAGAAACCACTTATTCTATATAGTTTTTATTCAGATTCTGGCAATGATCTGCATATAATTCGGTATAAACCATGATCCAAACTTCTGAGAACACATTCACACGTTATTTTTAATGAAGCATTAATTGTCCTGGGACTCCAGAGTTGAAGGAAAGCATACTCTTCTCCAATCTGTCAGGCAGTGGAGCAAGACATATTTGTTTTCTTGGAAGTTGATACTGTATATCACTTTGTGTGTTACCATAACCTTATCTAGAAAGCAAACCTAAAAATCATTCACCCTGCATAACACAGGTTTTGCTTAAATATTTTACAAGTTTGCTTTGAGTGCGTTGCTGTGAAATGAAATATTGGCCAAGACACATATATCTGCAGTGACTGCTATGTCTGTTCCACAGAAATGAAGATGCCTCAACTAGCTCTTTTCAGCACCTCGCTGTCCATAATTCAGTCTGATATTTTTGATAAGCTATAGGGGGATGGTAATGTGGGAAAGGGCAACTGGAGGGCACCTCACAGAACATCCTTCTTGAATATGCACACAGACCATCATACTAAGCTATATGATTCTATGCTGATTGTATGCTAATGTTGTTACCTTGTCTTTCACCCTGCATTTCTCTCCATCTGAGCTGCGAACACTAAAAATAAATTTCTTGCATTCCAGTTGGAAAGAAGATGGCATAAAACTTAGAAATACACGTGTCAGAAATATTTGAGCCATTTATGCATTTAGTCCAGCTTGCTCTGCTAATTGTTTCCTCCTTCAGAACTGTCCCCATATGACTTTGGAGTTAAATCAGTCTGGCAGTGCTTACCTGCAGCTGCATCTTCCAGCACTACATTTAGAACAAGACGCATGAATGCCAAAAACAGTTTAGAAGATCACTGTAAACATCTTTACTGACTTTTCCATCTGCAGTGGCAATGTTTGGTTGGGGTAAATGATCCAGAATTCAACAGCTGGAAATCATGACAGTTATTTCTTTAACCTCTGTGCCTCCTTGAGGATACATCTGTCGATCCAGGTAGTGTTACATACTTTTAAAATAAAAGAGTGCCAACAAATCCCTAAGAATATCTGCACTATCTTTTCACGTGCTTACAGTCATTGGCTGCAACAATCTATATTTTGAGCAAAGTGCTCAGTGTACCATGTCCATCTATACTGGTACTGTTCTGCACCAGTGTTTCTATAATACAGCATTTCTTGCCTGCTGCAAATTATAAGCATAGTCCAACTCACCCTAAACGTTTCTGCTTCATCTCCTACAAGGCCAGCAATGGCTGAATTGGGCAACACTGGGCCAAAATAAGGATCGCTAACATCTGGAGGGGAGAAGAAGCTGTTTTGCTCATCTACTAAACATCCATCTTCAGTAGGAAGCTTGACAGGTCTAAAGCAGCAAAAACAAGGACAGGGAAGGAGACTTTTAAAATTGGAAAATTCACTTCAAAGTCAGGATGTCGTAAAAGTTGATTCACAGTATTTTCAATGAATGTTTTTGTATTATGTGAAAGACAGCAAAAATACTTACTTTGACTTTAAAATATGCTGTTCATGACTCCTCTCAATAGTCCAAAGAGTAACAGAAGTACCATTGTACAAACATAACTGGTGCCAGCTCATAGGATTAAAACTCATTGCAGTCACTTCTACTCCTGGCTGTGATTGGGTGCACAAAAGGATTTTTTTTTGCCAATTCCTAACCCAAAGTGAGAGAAAACAAATGCCTTTTAAAAAAAGGTTTTGCCAATTTCCATTATCTTTTCATAAATCTTGAAACAGCTTATAAAACTTAAGGCTATTAAAACATATAAGGCAAGCTACATATAATACTTTACGGAGAAAGCCAGAGAGTTCCAGAAAACATCTACTTCTGCTTCAATGACTATGCAAAAGCCTTTGACTGTGTGGACCACAGCAAAC